CCCCGCGGTTTGAGAAAATGTCAAATACGCCTGAAGGTGTCCCCCTCGATATAAACGAACATGTCTTTTACCGTTTTTCGAAATTCCAACCCGTTCGCCAGATATTCAAGGTGGCTCGTTTTTCGTGAGACACCCTGTAGGTATCGCTGAAGTTTGAGAGGTCAAAAGGCTGTAATACTAAATAAATATTGAACTTCTAACTATTGAATGAATTCAGGATCACATACTTAAGATAAAGAAACTGCAAAACATTTGATTTGAGGCGAAAATGAAAAGAGAATGGTCAAAAAGAAGAATGCCAGGGTTTGGACATTGGACTTGTTAAACTGATTTTCAGAATGCACTTTAAAATGAGCCAATAAGCTGTAGCTCTAGGTTGTAAAATACGATGAATATTATTTTCAAATGCTTGGTTAAAGTCAAAATTGGATTTTAATTAATTAAAATCAAGAAATTTCTAGTTGTTCGGATCCTTTGTGTTATCAATCTTCTTTTGTTTACAACCTCGATGTTTTGCAGTGCAGCATTCTATGGCAGAGGTACCTTGCCGGCACGCGAGGTCAAAAGTGTGGCCATCGCAGGACGGATAGAATGGGCCGCCATTTTGGGTAGCCCGAGCGGCGCGTCGTTTAATTGGGAGCTCAAAATACGGAATTTTGAACTCGTATTTCGTAGGTTAATATTGCTAAAAAAAATCGGGGAAAATTTCTGTGAACTATGTGCACTCTCTAGGTTTAAAAATGCAAGAATTACAAAATACTGAACAAGCTCATTTAGTAAACTAGTATATTATTAATGAGGGCTCTGATCCCCACCTTTAGGGGTCGGCATTTCGTACTCAGCTGGGCCAACTTCGGATTTCTTGGTGGTCTGGTAGGTTAAAATTCCCTGCATGCCCTGGTTTTTGATGGAATGTTTTCAAAATTTTGATTTTAATCCTAACTTTTAAAGTGAGCACACCCCTCCTATCTACCAGGGAGACTCTTGGGTGATGAAATTTGGATTCCTTGAGGTTGATTTCCATCCATCTCTGCTGTCTCCGACTGTTTCACCTAAAACAACTGGGAAAAATGGTTGGGACGGCTGGTTTAGGATATCCTATATGCATCTATTTGTAGTTGCATAAATATGAGCATGCAAATGTGCTGCATTGCCATGATTATGGGTTTATTAGAATGAACCAGAGTTGGGCCGGGTATCCGGCGATTATCTGGATATCTGGCTCCAGCCGAAAACGATTTTCGTGGTTATCCGTATCCGGTTTTGGACCCACTGGATAGTGCTTTTACGGCCGTGAAAATTTCGATAAGTTTTTGGTGATACTTTGCAATTTTTCGGCGCACTTTGAATAGCCATTGTAATTGTTCAACTTTTCGAAACTTGTTATCATCGGAATTAAGGACATTTCCCGCACATTTACACGATTGCAACTTGATCCTCAATTCCGAAAGTCCACGTTTTTCAATTTCAAAGACGAAGATGCAGGTGGAAGATGAAGAAAAAACAATGCCACCAACATGTGCATAAGCTTAAGGGTAACGGTTTTAGTCCGAGTGTAACTCCGCAATTATTGTAATGTCACAGTACGCAGCTTGTTATTGCAGCATCAAAGCGCTGTTTTCCACTTTTGTTTTGTTTAGGCACACTTATAATAATATCTCTCTCCCTGCACATCAAATTCATCTAGCCCATTACACCATGAAGCCAATGAAAGCCATGCTGCTTATCTGCCTGGTCTTTGTTTTTAGTTTTCGTTTTAGCAGACCGACTCATAGCGTATCATTGGAAAATATGGAGGTTGCTGAAGTGAAGGCACATACATCGTGGATGACGGTCTTGATGGTGTAATGCTCAGTGTGCCTCTTGTCCCAAGCGCGAAATCGGGAGATCTTTCTCATGCGTAGCACTATCTATAAGCACTATCCGGATCCGGTATTATCCGGTTCCGGCCGGATTCCTTGGCAAATTATCCGGTATCCGACTCCGGCCGGATGGAGCCGGATACAAAAAATCGATATCTGGATCCGGTGACGCGGAAAATCCATTTCGGGCCAACTTCGGGGCCTGGAATGAACCTTCTGTAAGTCCCAAATATATGGATGCTACCAGGAATTTGAGTTATTGTGGCTCAAATGCAGATGTTAAGGCACTCCTCAAAACTTCTTTGAAAGAAGCTCATGAAGATTTTTCAAGAGAAACTCCCAAGAATGTCATAAGATATGTTCTTATTTACCTTAAAACAGGCTCAGAGCAAGTTTTTTATAAGAAAATGGTAAGTGAAGGTAATTTCAAGTAATGAAATCTGATTCTGGCTTCCTATTTATTAATTTTTTTTCTTTTTTTCTGAAACCCCTTGTTTGTATGAATATATGCGCTCCTCTCTGTACTTAATAATTTGCAGGGGACACTTAGATGGTTTTTGTCCTTGTTTTTTGCAGATTCAATTTGACAAAAAACTTTTAGATTTCGACTATGGAGAAGAAGAAGATGATGGAGGAAATACATCGAGTAATCAACAATCGGCAGCACCGGGGGCAGTCGTTGATTCATTGGGCAGGTTTGTAAAGTCTCCTGTATTTTCTTAGTTAAATAGTGGAGCCTGGAGGAATGAGAGACGCCTCCTGATCCACCTACCATTGGGCATGCTCTGTCGGGGTTAAGGGATCCTGTAAGGGTTACATGATTTCCTTCGACTTTATTCTGTCAGTGGGCCATCAACAAGGCACAAATCTGAGCATTTTGATGTATGAAGCTATTTACGTATGAACAGGGGATGTCGAGTTCTTAAGTTTTGAGAAAATTATATTCAAAGTTTTCAAAGTAGTGCATTTCGTTGTCAAGCAGCAAGGAGCAAGAGCAAGTAGGGTTTGGTCAAGAAAGAGCGACGCCAAAAACGACCGTTTTTTGGCACAATTTGGGCCAGAAGGGATTTTTCTGAAACCGGGCCCAAACGATACCTTATGATACCCTAAAACTCTGGTGAAAATTTTAGCTTGAGTATACGCACGGTTTTTGAGAAATGAGGGGGCAAAGTTGCCAAATCGCCATCATTCTGGACAGCATTTCTACAGCAAAAAGACGGGAAAAATGGACAAAAAAGTTACACCTTTGATGGGTTTCGGCTGTAAATGTTCTCATTGGGCCCCCAAGCATTTAACTTTGTTCAGTTTCAAAAATTTTGGTCGCACAATGGTCCAAAATGGGGGGAAATCGTCGAAAAATCAGGATTCTTCGTCAAATTTTTAGAAATGGAAGTAAAATTGTCGGTCTGCTGCAGTTTTCATGGCTAACAATGTTCGTATCGGTCATCAATGTATGAAATTGTGTTCAGCTTCACAAATTTACATCGCACAGTGGTCAAAAATGGGAGAATTAGTGGACAAATTAAGATCCTCTATCAAACTTTTTAAAAATGAAGTGAAACTGTTGGTCCCCGGTAGAGTTTAGATCCCGGAAAAATTCTTTAAATTATTTTTTTGACTATTTAAATCTTTTTTTAATTTTTTCTCTCCATTTTTCCTTCTTTTTTTTAAATTTCTGAAAGTTTGCATATTTTATTGAGATAATGCTACAAAGTCTATTCTATAACAATGTTCTATAAACAATACGGTCTGACATGTAGTAATAATTAAAAAAATTAAAAACATGAATTTTTCCGGGATCTAAACTCTACTGGGGACCAACAGTTTCACTTCATTTTTAAAAAGTTTG